TGAACAGGCCGATGTAGGTGAACTTAAGTATAGTCTGCTTGTGTCGAGTCAAGCACTTGCGCATTCCTATACTGTGGTTGAGGCAATGCTCGAGTAAGTGAATTTGTCTAAGGTTGGCAAGTAGTCCTTCAGATTAGCGGGTAATACTTTGTTGTGAGTGACCTGTTGAGCATGAGTGATTATCACGTTTCAATCAGTTTTGACCACCACAGTTTTGTCCAACTTTTCCATTCTTGCATCGACGTCTGAACTTCGGCCAAAGATAATCTATAAGTGTGCAGAGTCCGTAGAGACACTTGTCATAGGCAGTTTTGGCCCTCTCCGGGGTTTTCGATAGGTCGGACAAGTATTTTAATAGCAAACATTTTTGCCCTTCTTTATCGAAACTTTCACAAGACATGCCAAAATCATCGTATTGACTTTTCAATCTGAAGGTGTATCGGCTGTACACCAAGGCACTTTCACATCTCTGAACTCTGTCGAGATGCCTACTCCTAGCAATTCATCTCATAATGCTCAGTTCTGCCACTTGTACCCGGAATAATGGGATTTTAATCATGACCGACGAATCATTACCGTACGTGAGCAGAGGAATAAAAATCAGCTTGAACACATTCAGCTCGTTGCATTTTTTGATACGTATTATTTGAGTTTGCACGGTAATATGTAAATAATTCATTTGTTCTTGAAACCGTTCTCGAACCTGAGTCCTTTTGATATTCGGTCCTAAATTTTTAGAACGAAAGGCATGAATTTTTGGAGGATCGTGACCACTGGACTTGACATATAATACTAAAATGTCGTATCGTATTGTTCTGCTTTGCCAGTGAAGCTAAAGTCAAAGGTGAATTTATTTATAGGTCATGAAACTGTTATGGAGGATGCAACGAGCCCAAAAACGACTGAAAAACTAACTACTGCCGTTGTGTACGCGGATTTACAGGGTAAGACGTGATTGACGCTCTTAATATGATCAATATGGTTAATTGTATTTTCATGTTTATTAGACATGAACGTTATAAAACTTAAGTAAGAATCTAAATATTAGAGTTTCACAGCTAATCGAGAACAAATGCTGCTCTTAAAGTGAGGCTGGCAAAGTGGACTTCAAGATTTGAGGAATAAATCGAGCGAGAAACAGAGAAACGATAGAGACGGTATAATTAACAAGCAAGGATCAGATAAGGTATAAGATACCTACTTATTAATAATGCAAAGGAAGTTAGGTTATATTGGAAAAATAAAATTAATACGGAAGGATCCAACAAGGGCCTGAAAGTAAGCCTAAAATAGATACAGATTCAATGACCAGATATGGTGTAAAGGTGTCTGCCCCATAAGTAAAACTATGGAGTAGTGTTCCAGCTCCACCTCCGTTGTCCCTTTTACTTTGTCTTGTTTTAATCTTCTTGTTTTTTGTTGTTTGTCTCATACTTTCAATTACTCAACTTTTAATGCCGGGATGACTGGCTACGGTTGATTTTTTTCTAGCTCTTCCTTCTAAAAATTGGTCTACTATGGTCTTTTTCCCTCGTTGTGGGTCGCTGTTTCCATGATTTGGTGTTATGTTCGCAAAAACATGCAGAAAGCAATATTATCCACCCCCCATTTATCCTCCGTACCAACCTCCTTTCTTTGATTATAATGTATTCAGACTGCAACTGGATTCCTTATAAAATTACGTTACCTTTTATTCGTTTCGCCATTTTTGTCTTAGGATGAGCATATGCTTGCGTTGCCCAATGATCGCTTTTGGTTTTAAACATTAGAACAACTTCTTCCAAGCCATGACACCGTACCAACGTAATAATGATGAGGTGTTAGCATGCTTTGACAAAAAGGGTCAATACTAGGATTACTCAAATTTCAGATAAACCCACCATTTAAATCAATTTAAATTTGCAAAAATCAACTTGCACTTTTTGATGTACGATATGTAAGTTCCATTTAGAGATGAGCCGCCTCTAATGGACTGTTCACGAATTTTGAATTATTTTGATTATGAAGAAGCTGCTCTCTTTATATTTTTATAGGCTTTCTTTAAGCGAAGTTTAGTTATAACACTTTTGGTAACATGACACATAGATGAAAATGATTATTTTAAAAAAAGTTTTAGGAAATTAATTTTTTACAGTGAAAATAAAAATGAAAACTAAAATTAAGGTAACGTCGATACACACTATAAAACATAGAACAACTAAACTTGGAAATATTTAAAATATAACGATACCGGATGAGCTTTCTAATATTGTCTCCGCTTGGCTCCTTGGCTCCGCTGCATCAGTTAATCAATTAAATGGAATGCCACATGAAGCCGCCATTATTGAAGCTTGAAACATATGGAAACTATTTCAGGGATAATGCGCCGGAATTTATAACAGAAGATGGTATCTAAATTTGGCGTTCGAGATACCCCTCAAACAGCACTAGAAAATAATTTCATTATGATGTCATTTCTTAAGTCTTAAACATGCTTCAGATGCGCTATTGAATATCAGCCATCATCTTCCCAGTAGAGATTTTGCTGAGGCATGCGCTGGCAATGTTACCATATTTTCAAGAACATTTCCTAAAGCCTATCCCCGCAGTAGTTATCGCGGAATGGTGGCACAAGTAATAGACTCCGTGATTATTTATTCGTCACCACAGACAGAATTTGACTCAAGTAAATTCAGACTTATGTGCGAATTATCATAAAAAAATGAGTTACCAAAACATTATTTATGGTGTGTTTGTTACTCGCACGTAACCTATCAGTGATCTTTCGCAAGGCAGCCGACGCGGTGTATGCAATTTGGTAAGGAAAGTTGAGCGGCCAAATTACACAATTCGTTTTATTTTCCATGTTCTCATACTACTGATACAGTATTTATATAAAATAAATGAGTAAATATTGAGATCTATCTGCATCATCATCTTCTCGTGCACTCTTTTAATGAAACGATTATAAACAACGTTAAAGACTTATTACTTCACTGTTGCATGCACGTGATGTAAACTCGTAAGCAGTAGAGTGTGATTAACGAGTGAGGGCTAAATCCGATTTAGGTAAATTGATGTTACATAGGGTTGCGGAACGTAATTGTTCCGTAAGCATGGGTCTGTCTGTATTTCCATGTCTGCTTCGGATCTGACGAATCTTTGGGATCTGTTTTACTATTTACGACCTGTGGATTCCCACTATATGATTAGATCTTGTTACGGTGAAAGATTTCAATCGAATGTCACCAGGTATACTGACTGATATGAAAACAAACTGACCTGGCATTCAATATAACAATACCTAACAGCGGCTTGCAGTAGAAGCAGTAACAGTTTAAGTACTCTTTGTGAATGCCAGCTACTAATATTAGCATGCTAATTAGCACGAAATGCTTTACACTTGGGGATGCGATTCTTATTTCTGGCAGTGATGGCAGTGACAGCTGGCTGAGTTTGACGTTGCATTCGTTTCTCTTTCGGTTAGCCGTCTTTTCTAATGTATTTTCGTTTTTGTTAGTCGTCGATTCATGCTTCAAGGCACATCCATACAAAGTGCTGATTAACGCTGCGATGGATGTGTTTCAAGGCCATTCGATCAAAGAGTGTTTGTGCTTCTGTGCTCAAACCTGGAACGCGAAAAGTGCAGGCATTTTGCAATCGAAGCGTTGCGGTTCCGTGCTCTACAATTC